TATATGCTAAAATATCACACACACAACACATATATATGTGTGTGTGATATTATCACCTGTTGTAGTATAATTATTTATTTTTATGAGACTACAGTTAGTTACTATATTTATTTTTAGGAATAAGATATACATGTGTTTTTTAATTTTATTTTATTTTATCTTTATATTTTTTAATTTTTATAATGTACGAGTCGATACTTAAATTTGCATTAAATTAAAAAAATAGACACATGAGCTCTGCGTGCATAATACATGTAAGATGGAAAATTGTCATTTAAGTGTGTGTTTATATGTTTAACTTTGTACAAGTTTAAGCGTTTACTTGTTTATACCAAAAGTTGAAGGGCATAAGTATAAGTTAAAATTAAGTTAAATAACATAGTTATGTATTGTGCTTTTATTTTTGTAATTTTTTTTGGGAATCCCATAGCGTAAGGAGCAAATTATATTCTATCCATACTCTTATCTAAATTACAAAAAAAAAATAAAAATGTTGTCATCCGTATAAATCACATTTGATACACTATACAACGAGTTTGTTAAGATTAAAAAAGAAATTAACTATGAAATTAAATGTCAGCTCCCCAAATCATGCAAATCTAATTGATATGAATCTCTCCCAAATAATAGCTCCAGATAATTCAAATTTCAAAAAAATTTCTCTCAAACCTCATCCAAATTGTAATAGATTTTTAAAAAAGTCGACAATTTAATATAGTTATGTATCATATAAAAATTATGAATATGATATACGTTGATTTATTTATAAAATAGTGTAGCAAATACTTCACATCTTATACATCGCAACATCTGATACATAACTATGTTATATACATAATAAAAATTTGTGTCATATACATAACTGTGAATGTGATAAAAATAAATTTTATCATAGAATATTAGTGTTTATATATCAATGGTAATATTTAATAGTGTCTACAGATACATAACGTTCAACTAGTTGCATATAGTTGGGTGTATATATCGATAGTAAAAGATAACGAAATTTGTAATAGTTGTGTATTCAATACACAACTATGATCATGATGTATACTAATTTGTGTTAAAATAAATAGAATTATGTATCAAAACTAATATTTGAAAACGATATACTATACATGATATATATAATATAATGTATCAAAAAGGTGAAACAAACGAATTACACATTAATTTAAGAATTAAAATCAAGTAGATATATTTGAACACCTATTGAAAGCAATAAAAAAATCAAGAATTTGATCCGCTAAAAGCGAAAAAAGAAAATGATAAAAAAAATCCTTCCACACTTTCTCTTTTGCTCTGTCAACTCTCCTAGTTTTATTTTCACTTTTCAGTTTAAATAATAATGTCATCCATAGATCTCGACCCTTTATAATGATGTATCCGAAAAATGAAAAAAATTATAAAAAAAAGTACATTTTTCTAATTTTTTAAAATGTTAGGAAATATGATAAAAGTATGTTATTAAGTAATTTTTTCTTTATTTTAAATAATATAAAAAACAAAAAAGATGGACCAAAAAACTAACCTAAAAAGGGATAAAGACATTTAATAAGTTGGACAAAAATAAATACAATAATATCGAGATGGTGACAACTAAGAGACAAAAAAAGGAAGAGTGTTTGCACCGTTTAATATTAGCCCAAAATGGTGATTATTTGTATAATTATTTAAAGAAGCATCAAGCTAAGACTTAAGAGGCATGGATAATTAATTTGTTTCTTAAGAACATTTATGTTCCTTTTCCTAATTATTTTCGCTTAAGACAACGTAAATTTAAATTATTCAAATTCAATTTATCATGAAAGAAAAATTAAAATAAGCAACATTGCTTATAATATTGATTATTTCACTATTCAAAATAATGTATTCTAATAAAATAATGCATACAATTGTGATTGATATATATATATATTTTGAATCTGTTTATTTTTTCCGAATAAAAATCGAAAGTGTTATATTTTATGTTTATAATGTTTCATACAAATATTCAAATATTAGTTTTTATGAAGTAAAAGTCATGGTCAATATGATTTGGATTTAAGGGTGTTTCGGTATGAAAGGAAAATATATTTTGAAAAGCGTTTTTAATTTTATCATATTTAGTTCACTTAAAAAAAATTTAAATCAATTTATTTTTCTCAAATTTTAAAAAAATAACTTACAATTTAAAATTTAATATTGACAATAATATTTTATATAAAATTAAATTATAATTTAAAATAGTCAAAGTGCAGCTTTACGACTATTTAAAAGGAATTACCGTGACTAAAATCGGAAAAGACTATTTAATAGTTATTTGACTTGGTTCGAGAGAGTTCTAAATCCAGTTAACCAATAGTAAAAGGGAAAAATAAATAAATATATCTCTGAATTATCGTAAATGTTATATGTAAATTTTTTTCATTATACTTTTGGGACACTTGGCCTCTGCCGTCCAAGAAATAGAACATATTTACCATTTATACTAACAGACATACACGTGTCATAATCTTATTCACCGGCCTGATATTTATTAAATATCGGAATAATTAATGAAGCAATATGCCCCTATTTAGTTTTCCATTAGAGTGAAGGGCATATATACGCTAATTTTGGAACATTAAGGGCACCAATGGCCAAAAAGTATGACAAATGGTATCTGATACCATTTATAATACTCGGGGTATATTTATCCGTTTTTCCATGATAAAAACATTTCAGGAAAAAACGTAACTGAAAATAAATCTGACATATTTTAACTTTCTAATCCAGTCAATTACCAATAAAATCATTTTTAGAAAAAACATAACAAATTATATCTTTCAAATATTTTGAATAATTTATGAATATTTTTAACTCTCTCTCTAACCTAATATTTGCAATAGTCTTGATGCCATGCTTTTGCCCTATAAAAGGGGGCATAACAACTATAGCTTAGCCAAAAAGCATAGAGAAACAATTCTTGTGTCTCAACAAATCAGGTATGTGATGGTTTTATTTTGTAATTTATTTTCTAGTTGAAGATGACATTTGATTGTGGTGTCTTGTGAAGTAGATTAAGGGTCCAACTTCTTAAATCGCAAATGATAGTTATCGATAATGATAATTAACTATGGTAATTATTATAGTTAAGAATGATAATTGTAGCTGGTAGAGCGCGATAATTGATAATGACTAATAACAGTTTTGGATGACAATTAGTAGAGAAAGTGGATAGAGTGTGTGAATTGCAAATCATATTTGTAGTCGTATAACAAAATATTTTTTTATAAATCTTTAATTACATGTTAAATACCGAATATAGAAACTGTAAAGTTTTACGGAAGGAATTCATGAATCTTGAATGGACATATAGAAGAAGTCCTTTTCATTAAAATTCTTGACGGAATTGAAATACATAATTTTATTAATGAATTATTCCCAATCTATAAGTCGCTGAGATCTGTAACTTTCATCGATTTTTTGAAGCTAGGTAAAGTCAAAAATTTGAATTTCTAAAAAATTAAACTATTTATACATGGTTATAATAATTATTTTTATGTTTATATTAAATATTTTTTTATGTTTATTTTTTTTTTATATGTAAATTTCTTTAGCAAATAATTGAGCACCGGTGTGCATTCTCGAAAATAATGACAGCTAACGGTCTTCGAAAATAAAACATAAAATAGCTAAAAATCATTTTTTCAACTTATGAATATCAACTTCCCAAAAGAAGAAAATAAAAAAACAAATTTCAACATAACTTTTTTTTTCATTTAATTTTTTTCTCTCAACATTTAAGAAGATCTTATGTTAACATTTATATAAATTTAATTAATTAGTCCAATTATTTTGGTCCTTCATTTAAAATATTTCTGAATATTGTCTTAGTGTAAAGTTAGTTAATAAATTAAACTAATAAATGCATGACAAAGACAATTTTACGTTTTATATTACAAAAAAATTTTCTTACAAAAATTATACGGTTCAGTAACCTTTTAGATTTTCTTATTGGTAAATTTGGAACTAATCCTTTATCATATATATAATACATGATGAATTTCTAATTAGTTGAATTTTACATTTTTTTTGTTGTTTGTAAATATTCATATTTATCATAACTATATAATTAACCATTTCATAACTTAATCACTCATGCTCATGTGAAATTGTTATTGCATATTTTATAGTTTCATAGTTTTATAAAATAATTAAATATAACGTATTTTTTTAAATAGATTAAAATTTAAATATATCATATCCTAATTTATAAGATTCAAAATCAAAACTTATCAATAATTTGAAGATTAGAAGCATTTTTTTTTCTTAAAATCAATATCATAATCACGTTGTGCTTAATATGAAGGAAAATATTTTTTCATTGATCATAATTACGAAAATAAGTTTCTGAAGAACAAATAAATTATCTTCTTGGTGAAAATGACTTTACACATTCCATTTTTACGTCTATATCTTCCTCCCACTTCTCTGTCACAATATAATGCTCTATGTTAAGAATAAGTGACAAGTAAAATTAAACAGAGTGAAAGTAACACTTATCTAAATTATATATATATAAATTCATTTGATTACTTTGTGTAATTTATCAAATTAGATTGTGATGGTCTTCAAAATTAGCTATCTGAATATAATTAAACTTTAATTTTAATATTAGTGAAAAAAAATATAATTACACTCTTTAATTACAGTACGGCAATCTCCTTTTTTCGGATATTATTTCCAAGAAAAAAATACAGTTACAGTGACCAAAAAAGATGTCAGGAAGATGAAGAAACTCCATTTTCCATTTTCATCCATGGCATGAACCTCCTTAAATCGTCGTCCCCACTCAAAATCTCAACAAACCCACGTTCACAATGCTCTGTTGATCACATGCTTATTCCATTTTCTGAAAATCGGTAACTCAATCAGTTGATTACTTCTTCCTCTGTTTTTACACCTTTTTCAGGCAATTTTTTTGCTTGAAGAAACCCCATTTTGTGTTTTTGTGCTTGTTTTTATGAGTTTGTGCAAATATGATCTGTGAAACTTTGTGGGGTTTTGGTTTTTTTTGTTCTTCGTTCTTAGCTGGGACTGTGAGTTCCATTTTTGCCTTTTGCTAAAAGTTGAACTTTTTTTTTTCACCCGTGATTCCCTGAATAGAGTACAGAATCAAAAGCATAACAAACCCACGTTCAGATTCTTTGTTAATCAAATGCTTGTTTGAGTTTCAGCTTATTTTTTGCTTCCTTCCTCTGGTAATTTTTGCGTTTGCTTGGAACACCCATTTGCTTGTATTGTTGTTTCAGTGTAAAAGTTTGTGGGTTTTACTGGGTTTTTTTTGTTCTTCATGATGGACTTTTTTTTTTCTTATCCACGAACCCCTAAATTGTAGCTCACACTCAAAAATCATAACAAACCCACGTTCAGATTCTTGCAAATCAGATACATTTTCAGTTTTCTACTCGTTATACATGATTTGGTAGCTGACTCATTGTTGTAGTAATTTTTGTTTTTGCTTGCAACTCCCGTTTGGGTTCTTCTTTCTTCTCCCCCAGTTTTTTGGGTTTTTATGTCTTCTTCAAGTCATCTCTGCTTTTTTTACTGAACTAGTTTCATGATTTTGCATTTCTATCTTTTGCAGCAAAAGCGGCTAGTTGTGTGGTGAAGGATCAACTATTATCTAGTGGGAAGCGTGAAGTTCATTCACAAATCGGTAAGATTTACTTACTTATTTTCTGTTTGTTTCCAGCATGTAAAACCCTAACATACTTTTACATTCTTCATCAGTTTTTGCTTCATTTTGTTTACACCAAAATCAACAACATATCCACTGTAGTCCCCACAGAGGGGGGGTTTGGGAGGGTAGAGAGACTGTTTTCGATAGACCTTTGGTTCAGTTTTTGCTTCGTTTTGTTTGCTGAAATGTTTTTAATTCTGGGTTATTTGGGAGTCTCTTGATAATAGGTTGTGAATATGTTAAGGGTTAGCTAGAATTTGAGCCCTGTTCGGCTGACATTTACTGCTTGTTGTTGGTATAGTTGTGGTGCTATTTGTAAAAAAGAAAAAAAGGATGCAAAGCTTATTTTTTACTCTTGGAGAAAATGGAAGTTTCAGTCATTATCAGAATTTTGTTAGGAAAATGTCCATCAAGGTCATTAACAGAATTTGGTTAGGAAAAAGGTCACATGACCAGTGTGACATTTTGTTTTTGAGTACCCATATGTGATGGTCAAAATGTTGTCTCACTTCTGATTTGCCACATAAAAGCAAATTATAGCAGGATATACTTAACCAAAGAGATTTTAACAGTGGAAGTACCTAACACAACTCACGCTTAAAAATGGTAGAGGATGATACTGATCCTTTAAATTATCATAGTATTTCACATCAAGCTTTTGATTCTTCATTGTTGGTATATTTGACATATCGTGTTTGTCGTTTCAGCATTTTGACTTGCCTAAACAAGGATTTATTCATTTGGTTGAGAATGGTGTCATTCTCGAATGACGGTTTATCTGATCAATGTGTGAAGAAGCGGTCATCAGTAAATGGTTATCATTTGCTGGATTCTGGAACTATGTCAAAACATAAAGTTCGGATAGTCTGCGGAGAGCAGGATTTACCCCCAGGTTGTAGTAGAAATGCTCCAAAAGTTGACTTGAACCAAAACGAAAATGCTATGGTCTCCATCAGTGAAAATATGGCTGACACTCTGGTGGCCCATGGTGACAATGGTCCTAACACTGGGGTTGAGTTCTGTTCTGTTGAAGTTGCGTCAGCCAGAACCACTAATGTGATAGAAAACGGGTTGGAAGAACCTACAAGCCATGACAAATCGCTTAGATTTGAGTTGTCTAAAGATCATAAAAATAGTGAAATGTCATTGCTCAAGAAAGCAAAAGTCATTGGGTATGATGAATTAGGGACGGAAGTTGATGTTGCAAGACACTTTTTTTTGGTTGAAAATGTAATCGGTATGTACAAAGATCACGTGCTGCATCCTGGCAGTATGACTGATAGGGTGATTCCTGTTTGTGATTCAAAAACATTGTCACTGCCTCAGTGTCAAATAAAGAATGGAAGTGTTGAGGATAATATTTCACCCTTACCAAAGAAAAAGTACTGCCGAAGAGGAGTTTTTGCTGTTCGTGACTTCCCTCCATTTTGTGGAAGAAATGCTCCTAAGTCGACTAAACTGGATCTTTTGGGTGGTAATGAAGCAAGCAAGCGAGCGATTCTGTTAAATAAGGGAGTTACAGAAAATGAAGTGATTGAGACTTCAAAAAATGTTATGGATACTGGGACACTGTCCCTGGGGTTGACCGCAAGTCGGGAAGCTGATTCGTGGAGTAAGACAGAGGTTACTGGTTCCAAATGCAGTTTAATTGAACGAGCAACAGTTCGCGTTGAAGACCCAGAAGATGTCCAAGATAACTATGTTAGAAGGAGCCAACTTGAAAGAACTGTAATGTTGCCAGAGACAATGACGAAAAAGGAGAGGGATGATACAGGAAAATTTTTGCTGAAGGAGAGTATTGTGTATTCACGGAATGAACGTGAAAAGGCGACTACTGCTAGACATGGTTTTGGTTCTGGAGATAAAATTACTAAGCCAGTTGTGCATGGGTTGATGGATGAGCGTTGTTCTCCATGGAGGCAAAAGAAGCAAACTCCTAGGCAAATTGTGCAAGGTCTGATGGCTGAGACAAACAAGGACTGGAGGCAGAAGGAGCAAACTCGTTTAGATGGCCTGATGAGTAGAAACCAAGTTCCAAAGCCTAGCATGTATAGACAGAGGATGTCCGTAGTTGTTGCCAGAAAAAGTATTCCTAAACCAAAATTTCCAGAGACTCTGTTTGGCAGGAGTAGATCAGGTTTTGTTGGTGAAGCTGTGCCAGAATATCCAAGTTCACCGTTTTCCAAAAATGATGGAATTCGTAATTTGAATTGTGAAGCACAACCTAAAGATTCGCCTATTGGTCAGAAGAAGTGTGAGTTTGATGAGACTCGACCACCTTTTGGTCCAAAAAGTTCCAGTCGCTGTGATGCTCGTAGTAAAGTTTTAGAGACTCTTCGTCTGTTTCAGTCTCACTTTAGAAAAATCTTACAGGGAGAAGAATCAATGTCAAGATCTGCAGGAGTAAACGCTAAGCAAAAAGATAAAATTAGAAGGATTGATCTTCAAGCAGCAAAACTTGTCAAAGACAAAGGGAAGCAAGTTAATACAGGAACGCAGATACTGGGAGAAGTTCCAGGAGTTGAAGTAGGAGATGCATTCCAATACAGGGTTGAACTTTCTCTTGTGGGAGTTCATCGCTTGTATCAGGCTGGTATTGATTCCATGTACATTAAGGGAGGACTGCTGGTTGCAACTAGTATTGTTGCCTCCGGAGCCTATGATGATGATTTGGGAGATGCTGATGAGCTGATTTATTCTGGTCAAGGTGGAAATGTGGTTGGCAAGGTCAAAATTCCTGAAGACCAGAAACTTGTGAAAGGTAATTTAGCCTTGAAGAATAGCATACGTGAAAGGAATTCTGTTCGGGTGATTCGTGGATCTAAGGAGATCAGGACTCCTGAATCAGGTGGAAGACCTAATGTGGTGACTACTTATGTCTATGATGGCTTATACACTGTTGAGAATTATTGGAAAGAAAAAGGGCCACATGGTAAGATGGTTTTTATGTTTAAGTTGGTAAGAATTCCTGGACAACCAGAGCTTACTTGGAAAGAAGTACAGTCTTCAAAAAATTCCAAAGCGCGGCATGGTGTATGTGTTCCTGATATTACAGAAGGGAAGGAGTCACTACCTATAGCAGCTGTGAACACTATTGATGGTGAGAAACCCCCACCATTCAAGTACATCAAGAACATGATGTATCCAGTTGGTTTCCGCCCTGCTCCACCTAGAGGTTGTGATTGTATTGGTAGATGTTCTGATGCCGAGAGGTGCTCATGTGCAGTTAAAAATGGAGGTGAGATCCCTTACAATCGTAATGGGGCTATTGTTGAAGTGAAGCCTCTTGTATATGAGTGTGGTCCTCATTGTAAGTGCCCTCCTTCGTGCTATAATAGAGTGAGCCAACATGGTATTAAAATTCCACTGGAGATCTTCAAGACAGATACAAGGGGCTGGGGTGTGAGAGCTCTAACTTCCATCTCTTCAGGAACCTTTATCTGTGAGTATACAGGACAACTTCTTGAGGACACAGAAGCGGAACGAAGGATTGGCATGGATGAATATCTTTTTGATATTGGCCAGAACTATGGTGGTTATACTGCCAACTCTTCTGGACAAGCAAACCAAAATGAGTTAGTAGAAGAGGGCGGTTATACCATTGATGCAGCTCGCTATGGAAATGTAGGACGATTCATCAACCACAGTTGTTCCCCCAATTTGTATGCACAGAATGTTGTCTATGATCACAAGGATAAGAGAGTGCCCCACATCATGCTTTTTGCGGCTGACAATATTCCTCCCTTGAAGGAGCTTTCTTACCATTACAACTATGTTGTTGATCAGGTTTATGACTCTGATGGCAAGATCAAGGTGAAGAGGTGCTTTTGTGGATCTTCAGATTGTTCTGGTAGGATGTACTAGGATTTTATAAAATTTAGCTGTTGAAGTTGAATAGAGAGTTACTCTTGACTCATTGTCTTTCTTTTGTCCACACCTGGAAATAGTAGTGCTTCATTTTGTTTATCCTATATAGTATATAGGGTGTATGTTCATGGAGAAATAAGCTTGTACGGGCTGACTCGTATGATCCTATAATCAGAACTGGCAAATTTTTGCATCAGTACTCAGCCTTCTTGTGTGATCTTAGATGTGCCTGAACAAGTTAATTTGCTTTCCTATCTCCTTGCATGAGTCTGGTTGCGTTACTTTCTCTTTTCAGTCGCAAATAATAGCATGATGGCTGATTCCAATGCCCTCTGAACAGCTTTTGGCTCGAACGATATATATGTACACATACTTGAAAATCCTTGATTTGATCTGCTCATATGCCCTATTGATCAACTAACCTTTGTGCATCTTACTATATGTTCTCTAGACTTACATTTTTTTATGTTGAAGTGGACAAATGTATATAGTTAACTTTTTTTTTCTCTAGTGGTTTGTACCATTCACTTGAAACCTGAATTTCACTGCACCCTTTTTGGTGGAATCTGAAATGGCCCATACTGCACCAAATATCCTTACCATTGCTTGTGGGATTCCTGCTTTTTGTACAAATTCACAAGTTTAAGAGCCTGTTTGGCTCAGCTTAAAAGTTGGTCAAACTGACTTAAAAGCTGGTTTTTGACTTATTTAACTGTTTGGCAATACTCAAAATAACTTATTTTAAGTTGAAAAAAACTTATTTTAAGCCAAAAGTTAAAAGCTGGGGTAGGGGTGTTTTTTTTTTTTTTTAGCTTATAAGCTGTTTTATCCAAACGCATAACTGCTTATTTTAATATCTCTTTCTTCCATTTTTCCCTTTTCACGTTTGGCATAATAACTTCAGCACTTTTATCCAAACGCATAACTGCTTATTTTAAAAATAAGTTTCAGCACTTTCAAAAGTACTTTTTTAAAGCTGCTTTTATTAAGCCCATCCAAACGGGCCCTAAGTCTTTTTAGCATTGCCATACATATGAGCGTGGAGAGGGTAGAATATACTCGAACCTTACCCTTATCTTTGCTAGGTAGGAATGCTGTTTCTGATAGACCCTCGTCTCAATTCAACTGATACTTATCTTTGCTAGGTAGGAATGTTGTTTCTGATAGACCCTTGTCTCAATCCAACTGATAAGTAGTCTAGATATAATAGGCAGAGGGGAACAAAACACAAAATAATTACTTTAAAGAAAATGATATATATCCATAAATTTTAAAAATTATTAAAATTCTGCGTATATTTATATCATCATTTCACAATAAATGTGTTCCATTAAAAAATAACCTTACAATATAATGGGCAATCAACAATATAAATAAAACAATACATTAATGACATACTCAAACTTGTTATTAATTCAGTTATAATTATAAACATGAAATACTAATTGTTCTTTTTATCTCAAATTTATCACTCAAACTTTTCGGAAGAGAGAAAAACAAAATACTTGTATTATTAATAGATAATGGGTAATTTTATAAAATATAAAAAATTGAGGTAATTTTTATTTATTTTAAATTTTCAAATATTAGTACTTGATCCAAATACTATTTTTTTCCCCAGTATTTGGAAACTTGAAATATTGAACAAATATATTTACCAGAATTATGACCCAAAATTTTTTCTTATTCTTTGGGTCAAACGGGTCCTTAATTTTGGGTTTGGATGAGTTTTGTCCTCCGCTTGTAGGTCGCAAGCATCTATTCTTTTTCCTTTTTTTCCCCTTTGTTAAATTAGTCCACTCCCTTTACATCAACCATTTCTGCAATTCGAAGGATCTAAACAATGGCTCTTCAGATTGCGAAAAGACTCCTACGATGCCGCACCGATTCAGTTGCATCCTCTGTTAGGTTTTTCGATCGGACCTTCACTTCCCAATCCAATTCCAACTTGATCCGCGCTACTCTTTTCCCCGGCGATGGTATTGGACCTGAGATCGCCGAGTCCGTCAGGCAGGTCTGCTTCTTCGCCCAAATACTTGTTCTCCTTTTTCTCTTGTTATTTGCATACCTATCGTTAGATGCCGATTATTAGAGGTTTGTAATTATACCGTTGTTTGCTTCATATTGTTACTGTTCATCAATGAAGTTGTAATAAATTTGCACATCTGAATATTAGATAGTACTTGTTAGGTTGAACCTCCGGTTTGGGCTCTGGCTGTACTTGTAGGCTGTAGCACTCGTGAAATTCTCCGTTCTCATAATTAATAATTAACGCCGATTGCTGAAATAAGATAGACTTTGTAGTATAATCATTTGTCTTTTTTTATTTATGATGCGAGTGAGGCTGAGATGATGCAGTAACCTTTCCTCATAGGGGTTGAAATTTCCACTTGTCGCCTGTTTAAAGTTTTTTTTTTCTTTGTAAGACTCAACTTGTGCGAATACAGAGGTATGTTGTTGTTGTGCTTTGGGCTGAGGGGCAAGGCTGGGTGTATACTAACCTCTGCAGACTCTACTTGTGGGACTACACTGGATATTTGTTGTTGTGATTATTTTGACATCCTACTAAGTCATAGCTGCAGGAAGATTAAATGCATTTTTGGTACCATGGCTATATAGCTTTTCTTTTTTGTTTATTGGATGAATTGATAGGCTACTTTCCTTGTTCATTATGTTTCGGATGCTCTTATCAGCAAGTCGAATCATTTAGGAATGAAATGGACAAGTAAATATCTTGTCCTAATTAATTGTACAAAGATGCGTGACATAGGTGTTCTCCTTCTAATCCTGCCTGGAGGTTCACGGGCATTAAGGTTAGTTGGATTCTACTATTTTGCTTGACATTTTTCTTCTAGATTGTCCACAATAATGAAAGTTGATTTGCTTCCCTCAGTGACGAATCCAGAATTTAAGTTTTAAGGGTTCAACTTTTAAGTTTTTTAGCATTGAGTCAACTGTATTTTAAAATCATGGTTCGTATCTACTATTTGCTGCTTTTTGTGAAGTCTTAAACATAGGGATATGCTCAGCATCGTAAGCACGGGGTTCAAATGAACTCAATACCAATACTCTATATCCGCCTCTAACTCCCTTGGAGCTAGGGTCTGGTACTTCATTAAGTCTGGGGTTATAAATTGCTAAGTCCTATTTAAAATTACAGATATTCAAGGTTGCTGAGGTACCAATTGAATGGGAAGAACACTATGTGGGGACGGAGATAGACCCTAGAACCAACAGCTTTCTAACATGGGAAAGTCTTGAATCAGTGAGGCGGAATAAGGTTGGTCTGAAAGGGCCAATGGCCACTCCTATTGGAAAAGGTCATCGTTCCTTGAACCTTACATTGAGGAAGGAGTTAAATCTATATGCCAATGTCAGACCTTGCTACAGCCTTCCTGGATATAAGACTCGCTATGATGATGTGAATCTCATCACTATTAGAGAGAACACTGAAGGAGAGTACAGTGGTCTTGAACATCAAGTAAGTATCTTTCTTTATTATTTAACAGAAAATTGCTTATTTCTTGAGTTCTTCAAATTCATTTGCATTTATTATCAGGTAGTAAGAGGTGTGGTTGAAAGTCTCAAGATCATTACCCGTCAAGCAAGTTTAAGGGTTGCAGAGTATGCATTTCACTATGCCAAGACCCATGGAAGAGAGAGAGTGTCTGCAATTCACAAAGCCAACATCATGCAAAAGACAGACGGTCTTTTTCTTAAGGTCTATCCTTATGTCTGGCGTCTCAGTATAATTATATTTTTTATCAACCAACATATGTTGTTCACTTTCTTTCTTCTTGTCCAGTGTTGCCGAGAGGTCGCGGAAAAGTACCCTGATATAAAGTATGAGGAAGTTGTCATTGACAATTGCTGTATGATGGTATGATCAAAGACCAATCACTTCATTGCGACTCCAGTACTAAACATGTTCATCTTAATGAACAACCTTGAATAAGTTCAATGAAAAGTTTAATAGTATAGGACCAAGCCTCATCCTAAAGTTTCATAAATAAAATCTAGAAATATTTGGTGAAATAACATACTTCCTTTTCATGCGTACAGCTTGTGAAAAATCCAGCACTTTTTGATGTTCTGGTGATGCCTAACCTTTATGGTGACATAATCAGTGATCTTTGTGCTGGTTTGATAGGTGGTTTGGGCTTAACTCCAAGGTATGCCATTTTTTTCATTATACGTATCTGATGTCCCATTTGAGTTCATTTTGTCTCATTTTTTTCCTAAAGATGATTTCTCCTACAGTTGCAATATTGGCGAGGGAGGTATTGCCCTTGCTGAGGCTGTGCATGGTTCAGCACCTGATATTGCCGGAAAGGTTTGTATTCATATAGAATATCATGTCCGATGAGAAGATTTTTTTACTCTTATAGCCTGATGCTTCTGTAATTAGTATCTCATTTAACCATCAACTATTACCAAGTTCAATCAATTATTGGGTGGGTATCTGACTTCTTGTATCACTCCCCAAATAGAAGTCAAATTTTTGTGTCATTTCTTAACTTTGATGTTAGATGAAAGAGTGATTCAATGATTTTCAGGCTATTGTACATATATATATATATGTTTGTGTGTGTGCGCGCGCGCGCGTGCGCGCATGTGCCCGTATACACACATATGTATGTGTTATGTGTATGTTTTGTGTTTCCTATCTTTATCTTAAAAACATAACTTTAGTTCAAACTGTAGCTACTATTATTTACTTTTTAGATCTAGTGTTGCACTCGCATCGGGTGTGCTAAATAAGCTTGCAGTCTATTAATGTCCTTCAACTTATTAGCAATGACTAATGCACAATCTATACATATTGATGATTAGTATACTTTGATACTGATGAGCAAAACACACTATAAAATAAGGTGTAGTGCGTCAAAGTTAGTATAGAAAAATATTGTCTCCAAGAGATTGGTTCAAACAATGTTCAAATAATTTTGTCTTAATGCTATTTAGGAGGATAAATTATTTTAGATTGGGATGGCTTTAGAAGTATTGTAATAGGTGTTTAGATAAGACAAAACACATTTGTAGCTTACCGAGGATATAACCCTATAGGAAGATTCAGAGGTCAATGATTAGGATAGAATGTTTGTAGGCAGTCAAGTCTTGTCTAGTTCTTTATCAGTATTGTTTTTATTACACTCGTACTATCTTATTCTTCAATGTAGTGCTTCCTTTACTTCAGTTATTATATGATTTGCTGTTGTTACTGTTTTCTTCTCCATTGTTTTCAGTGTTGATTCTTCACTATATTTGTTTTACCTACTTGATTTTTGTTATCCTTTACTTGAGCCGAGTGTGTATCGAAAACCACCTCTCTACCTTCTCAGTGTAGGGGGTAAGGCTGTGAACACACCACAATCCCCAGACCTCAATTGTGGGATTATACAGTAGGTATGTTGTTGTATAGAGTTGGGATAAAATCTGTCAATAGATGGTGATTTAGTTTGTGGATAAGTTGGAAACTGATGAGAACACGTAATAAATTAACCTATTTTATGAAAAGACAGCCACTTTCTGTTTACCAGGGATGGCTATGAGGTGAAGCGGGGCAATCCTTGACTCACCTTGCCCTGCCTCATTTAGTCTTTTTTGAACATTTTTTATTTTTTTAGTGATGCACATCTGAAAATTAGCCTTGTTCAAATTTTAAGATAAAATTGAGAAAATTTGAAGATTTCTGTATCAGTACTGTTTTGCTAATTTGTACTGTAGCTGGAATAGTGAAAAATCTGACTGTTGGAACATTTTTTTAAAGCAATGTTTTTCCAGAAGCTTTGTAAAAAAAATTTATGTTTGCAGAAGTTTCATCTAAGGAGATCAACAAACAAACAACTAATACACTGATGAAAAAGAACTAAAATGGATTTATCTCCCCCCCTCCCTCCCCCAAATTCCATCCCTACCGTTTACCTCAATGTCAAGATGAAGTGAAGTGGGCAGCCTTTAAACCTTTTACTGATATCTGTGGTACCTAATTAACTCATATACATCCTTGCATGTGTTCTTCTAGTGAAGTAGCAAAGCATATCTGCGACATAGGAAATAAGGTGAGGTGTTACTGTATTATCATGTGCTTTCCTTTCCCTACACACCAAGAATAGAGAATACTAATATTTTACCTTGGAACAAAGAAAGTTCTGAGCAACAGTAAAGTTGCCTCTGTATGGCCTATAGGTCATGCGGTGGAATCAGCCACTGATGCTCTTGTTGGTGTAGGCTGCCTGTGTTACACCTTCTTGGGTGCGACTGTTCTCCAGACCCTGCATTAATTTGGGATGCTTCTTGTACTAAGCTGCCCCTATTTTAAAAAAGATCTTTTTCCTTTTCTGTGTCCTAGGTCCCTGTTTCCCCCCTTAATAGAACTGAATGTTGAATGAGAAGCAACTGAGAAATATATTCTGGTCTTAAGTAGAAGATGCGTTATCTGAATTTTTTTTTGTCTATGATGAAGACCACACATAATTGAAGTATGAAATAAGGATGTAAACAGTGTATGCTTGACACACATCCAGAGGTACTCTGTGTGAATATTTATGTGGTAGGTTTTAGACGGCAGTTGTTTAGTGAGATTCGTTTTTCAAAATGTGGTTCACTTTCTTCTTCCTCTGCCGTTCATTAGGCATGCCCACCCCCTGTTTTTTCGTATTTGTTAATCCAAAAAGAAAATTATGTATGCAGAATTTGGCGAATCCAACTGCTTTGCTTTTGAGTTCTGTGTCCATGCTTCGTCATCTAGAGCTTCATGATAAAGCTGATCGCATCCAAGATGCCATCCTAAAAACAATTGCAGAAGGGAAATACCGAACAGGTGACCTTGGAGGCACTGCCACAACAACTGAGTTCACCAATGCCATCTGCGATCATCTTTGAACATGTGTATAATACATAGTCATTTTGATGTCAATTTTTTAAATTATACAATAGTTAAAAATAACGGTAAGGCGGCAATTGAAAAATCAGCACGAAGTAGTTGTTGAAGATCGTGGCCCCTTGCACCGTACCGTCTATTCATGTATTTACATATTTACAGAAGCCGGTATCACAAGAGGCTAAATATTCACGCAGCCTTTGTTGGTGGCTGTCATCTTTGATTTTCTTAATCACCGTTGTGATTTTGTGACGGACAAAATATCTGTTCATGCTTCCTATTGAATTGAACTGGGAGAAATTGTTTGGCTGATTGTGTAGTCTACCTTTTTTTTAAGAAAAGCGTTGGGGCTCTCTTCCTATCTTTTCCATCAGGGAACAAAGATGTTCTATTTATAATACACTCCATATATTGATTAAAGATATACTTGCATCGTTACATCTTAATGATAATATAGTTTTAAACATAGTCCAAGGTATAAAACATATTCCTGCATAAAAGAATCACACTAACATTTATGATTAAATGTACGGTGTCATATATTAAATTTACAAATATAGCTATACATATTGATGCTGAATGCAAAATGGCAATTAATATGGTTAGATAAATAGACACGGACATTCACATTAGGGACAAAACAAGATGCTCAGGTATACGAGTTTATAATATTTTCTTAAATACCATATGGTCCATGAGATTCTATGATTTATATGTAAGTATCAAAGTATTACAATTTAATGAAATTTCACGAAGACAACCTGCATATAACACGATTTCATTAATAGTTTATTTATTTTTACACGAATTTAATTTGATCAGCCTTATTAACACAAACATTTGGTTAATAAAACCACAATTACTGCTGATCACCCTAGACAAATATGAACTTTATTTGACTCCAAACCATATATATATATGTTAACAATTTTATGTCACACATTTTTTATATTTATTCAAGGAATATGAATATCAGTTTCATAATTTGAGCCAGGTTTCCAATAATCTGGGATCATAGTTTTATCTGAATTAATCCATTTGCTCTTTACTAAACTAGTCATATGTCTATATGTTATACATTCATTTATATGTATGAGCATTTTATATTTAAAAAGAATAAAATAATATATATTTTGATAAAATAAATGGAGTATTACTATTATAATATCGATCCTCAACTCAAATTTATGAAATTTAAAATTCTGAATCCATTTCTCATGATAACATGCATCACACCCAGCTCCATTCTTATAGAGCTTCCATGACGTGCGACGAGTCCATCAATTGACATTTCTTCCATGCTTTCCATAACCACAAGCTCCATCTGATAAAAATATGATGCAAATTAATCAAATGTTAATTTTAATCACTCTATTAATAAAAGGAAAAAAAAGTTGAAAATGAAATATGACTTACTAAGTGTTCCTTGCCATCAGTGGTCTAATAAAATGTAGCTTTATAATAATAATTTTCAGTACCAAAGTAAAATTATACATATCATAAAAGTGGAACAATTATTGAAAGGATAAGCCATTTCTTTTCTTTTTTAGCTAAAAATGTAAAGAAGTGTTAATTTGGATTATGAGAAATGTAGAGATAATAAAGTTGTTTATTTATAGCTGTGTTTTACAAGGGGGCAGGTATTGACTAATTATTTTATTTGAAAAAGAAATATTCAAAGTTTTTGACCAAATTTGTAACAACACTTTTGGTGCTAGAAATTGTCATTGTTTCAAAATCAATGGATGTTACTAACAAATTCAAAAAATACCTTTTCACCCAAAATAATCGAAAAATATCATAAATAGTTATCTCTTAATATTATGTAATTATTTTATATTTTGTAGTATAATTTCTTTTGATTTAGAAACTTAATATTTGACAAATATTATAACCAAACGCTACCCAAGTTTTTCCGAAGTACTCCTTTGGGTCAAACGGGTCCTTAAGTTTGGGTTTGGATCCTCCGATGGTAGGTCGCAAGCGTCTATTCTCTTTCATTTACCACCTTCGTCTCCCTTTAACATTTTAACAAAATTCTGCAACTCTAAGATCTACTATGGCTCTTCAGATTGCAAAAAGACTCCTTCGATGCCGACCTCATGCAGTTGCGCCCTCTGTTAGGTTTTTCGATCGGACCTTCACTTCCCAATCCAATTCCGACTTGATCCGCGCTACTCTTTTCCCCGGCGATGGTATTGGACCTGAAATCGCCGAGTCCGTCAGGCAGGTCTGCTTCTTCGCGAATACTTGTTCTCCTTTATCTTGTTGTTTCCATATATATATATATATATAGATATATAGAGTTAGATGCTGGTTATTAGAAGTTTGTACCGTTGTTTGCTTCATATTGTTACTGTTCATCAATTATCTGTATGGAAGTTGTAATAAATTTGCACATATGAATATTAGATAGTACTTGCTAGGTTGAACCTCCGGTTTTGCTCCTTGTAGGCTGTAGCACTCGTGAAATTCTACCTTTTCATAATTAATGCCGAATGTTGAAATAAGCTAGACTTTGTAGTATCATCATTTGTCTTTTTTATTTATGATGCGAGTAAGGCTGAGATAATGCAGTAATCTTTCCTCATAGGGGTTGAAATTTCCACTTGTGCGTCTGTTGCAAGTTTTTTTTCTTTGTAAGACTCAACTTGTGGGAATACAGAGGTATGTTGTTGTTGTGCTTTGGTCCTAGGGATAAAGCCTCTTTTGTGGAAGGTAAGGGCAAGGCTGGGTATATACTAACCTTTGCAGACTCTATCTGTGGGACTACATTGGGTATGCTGTTGTTGTGATTAGTTTGACACTCGTACTAAGTCATAGTCACTCATAGCTGCAGGAAGATTAAATGCATTTTTGGTACCATGGCTATATAGCTTTTCTTTTTTCTTTATTGGATGAATTAATAGGCTATTTTCCTTGTTGATTATATTTCGGATGCTCTTATCAGCAAGTCGAATCATTTAGGAATGAAATGGACAAGTAAATATCTTGTCCTTATTAATTGTGCAACGATGTGGGACAAAGAGTTCTTCTGCTAATCCTGCTTAGAGGTTCACGGGCATTATGGTTGGTTAGATTCTACTATTTTTCTAGACATTTTTCTTCTAGATTGTCCACAATAATGAAAGTTGATTTGCTTCCCTCAGTGACGAATCCAACATTTAAGTTTTAAGGGTTCAACTTTTAAGTTTTTTAACATTGACTCAACTGTATTTTAAAATCATAGGTTCGTATCTACTATTTGCTATTTTTTGTGAAGTCATAAACATAGGTATATGCTCAAAGTCGTAAGCGCGAGTTCAGATGAACTCAGTATCGTTACTCTATATCCGCCTCTGACTTCGTTGGAGCTAGGGTTTCTGGTACTTCATTAATTCTGGGGTCATAAATTGCTAAATCCTATTTAAAACTACAGATATTCAAGGTTGCTGAGGTACCAATTGAATGGGAAGAACACTATGTGGGGACGGATATAGACCCTAGAACCAACAGCTTTCTAACATGGGAAAGTCTTGAATCAGTGAGGCGGAATAAGGTTGGTTTGAAAGGGCCAATGGCCACTCCTATTGGAAAAGGTCATCGTTCCTTGAACCTTACATTGAGGAAGGAGTTAAATCTATATGCCAATGTCAGACCTTGCTACAGCCTTCCTGGATATAAGACTCGCTATGATGATGTGAATCTCATCACTATTAGAGAGAACACTGAAGGAGAGTACAGCGGTCTTGAACATCAAGTAAGTATCTTTCTTTATTATTTAATAGAAAATTGCTTATTTCTTGAGTTCTTCAAATTCATTTGCATTTATTATCAGGTAGTAAGAGGTGTGGTTGAAAGTCTCAAGATCATTACCCGTCAAGCAAGTTTAAGGGTTGCAGAGTATGCATTTCACTATGCCAAGACCCATGGAAGAGAGAGAGTGTCTGCAATTCACAAAGCCAACATCATGCAAAAGACAGACGGTCTTTTTCTTAAGGTCTATCCTTATGTCTGGCGTCTCAATATAATTCTATGTTTTATTAACCAATATATGTTGTTCACTTTCTTTCTTCTTGTCCAGTGTTGCCGAGAGGTCGCAGAAAAGTACCCTGAGATAAAGTATGAGGAAGTTGTCATTGACAATTGTTGTATGATGGTATGATCAAAGACCAATCACTTTATTGCGAGTTCAGTACTATACATGTTTATCTTAATGAACAACTTCGATAAGTTCAATGAAATGTCTAACAGTATTGGACCAAGCGTCATTCTAAAGTTTCAGAAATACTATCTAGAAATATGTGATGAAATAACATACTTCCTTTTCATGTGTACAGCTTGTGAAAAATCCAGCACTTTTTGATGTTCTGGTGATGCCTAACCTTTATGGTGACATAATCAGTGACCTTTGTGCTGGTTTGATAGGTGGTTTGGGCTTAACTCCAAGGTATGCCTTTTTTTTTTCATTTAACGTATCTGATGTTTAATTTGAGTTCATTTTCTCATTTTTTTCCCCTAATGATGATTTCTCTTACAGTTGCAATATTGGCGAGGGAGGTATTGCCCTTGCTGAGGCTGTGCATGGTTCAGCACCTGATATTGCTGGAAAGGTCTGTATTCAAATAGGATATCATGTCCCATGCGATTATTGCTTTACTCTTAATTCTTATAGCTTGATGCTTCTGTGATCAGTATCAGTATCTCATTTAACCATTAACTATTACCAAGTTCAATCAATTATTTGTGGGTATCTTCTGACTTCTTGTATAACTTTTCAAATAGAAGTCAAATTTTCTTGTCATTTCGTAACGTTGATGATAGATAAAATAGTGTGTAGACATTGAAATTTTGTGGGACTCCACAAGATGTATTCAATTCGAATTGGGCCTCTAGTAGGTGTGTTCATTTTCAATTAGAATTCTTACAGGCTACTAAAGCCTAAACCCTAGTTCATGCCTATCTAAAGGGTGCTAAATTCCCTTGAAAGACATCTCAAAATATTCTCATAAACTATTGGGTATTTTAAAGATCAAAATCTTGAATATTCTACAATTTGATGGAATATTCATATAGAGGTCAAATTAAATCATCCTAGTTCGAGAAATACGCCACTAACGACCCTCAAATCATGGATAAATCTTTTGAGAAGAGAATCAAGGGAGAAACATATTTGTACTCACAATCTTGATTAATAAAATCATGATTTGAGGGCCGTTAGTGGCGTATTTCTCGAACTAGGATGATTTAGATTTGACATCTATATGAATATTCCATGAGACCATGACTTTTGTGGAATATTTTGAGATCTTGATCTCCTTAGGAAATTTTTGAGATGCCTTAGTACCCTTTATATAGGCATAAACTAGGGTTTGAGATTGAGTAGCCTCCAAAAATCCTAATTTGAGTTGAACACAGTTTGTAAAGTACCAACTAGAATTGAACATATCTTGTAGAGTTCCACAAATTTTCAATGTTTACTTAGTGATTCAAAGATATTCAGACAGTTCTATTTCACTCCATTCAACTTTTATTTATATTTAACTGTGTTCAACTTACACACTCTCACATATATACATATATATATATATATATAAATATGTATATGTGTATGTGAATGTATATACACATATGTATGTGACTGTGTATGTATATGTTTTGTGTTTTTTATCTTTATCTTAAAAACATAACTTTATGTTTCCGCGTTGTATTGTTCAAGCTGCAGCTGCTATTATTTACTTTTTTTTTGATGTAATGTTGCACTCACATCGGGTGTGCTAAATCAGCTTGCTGTCTATTAATGTGGGACTATACGAAGAGTATTTTCTTTTTCATTTGGATGTCCTTCAATCTTATTAGCAATAATTAATGCACAATGAATACATAGTGATGCTTAGTCTACTTCGGTACTGATGAGGCAAACACACTATAAAAGAAGCTGTAGTGTGTCAAAGATAGTATAGAAAAATAGTCTCCCAAGGGATTGGATCAAACAATGTTCAAATAATTCTTGGCTTAATGCTATTTAGGATGGATACGTTATTTTAGATTGGGATGGCTTAAGAAGTATTGAGGATAGGTGATTAGATAGAACAAAACACATTTGTAGCTTACCAGGACTTAACCCTATAGGAAAATTTAGAGGTCGATGATTAGGATAGAATGTTTGTAGGAAGTTGAGTGGTGTATAGTATTTATCATTATTGTTTTTACTATACTCATACTATCTTATTCTTCAATTACTGCCTCCCTTAAGTTATTTTATGATTTGTTGTTGCTACTGGTCTCTTCTCCATTGTTTTCCTTGTGGATTCTTCACTAATTACTACATTTGTTTTACCTACTTGATTTTTGTTATGCTTCACTTGAGCCGAGGGTTTATCGAAAACCACCTCTCTACCTTCTCAGGGTGGGGGTAAGGCTGCATACACACCACACTCCCCATGCCTCACTTGTGTGATTATTCTTGGTATGTTGTTGTATAGAGTTGGGAATAAAATCTGTCAATAGATGGTGATTTAGTTTGTGGAAAGTTAGAAACTGACGAGGACACCTAACATACTAACCTATTTTAAGAAAAGACAGCCACTTTCTGTCTACCAGGGATGGCAATGAGGCGGGGCAGGGCAATCCTTGACTCACCTTGCCCTGCCTCATTTAGTCATTTTTTTTATTTTTTTGTGATACACATCTGTATCAGTACTGTTTTGCTAATTTGTACTGTAGCTGAATAGTGAAAAATCTGAACTCTTGTAACATTTTTTAAAGCAATGTTTTTCCAGAAGCTTTGTAAAAACAATTTATGTTTGTGTATATTTTGTTAAAGGATGGTGTAGTCCAGTCCTATTTGAACCCCCCAACAAAATTCCATCCCTACTGTTTACTACTATGTCAAGATGAAGTGAAATGGGCAGCCATAAAACCTTTTACTAATATCTGTGGTACCTAATTAACTCATGTACATCCTTGCATGTGTGCTTCTACTGAAGTAGCAAAGCATATCGGCGACATAGGAAATAAGGGGAGATGGTACTGTATATCATGCTTTCCTTACACACCAAGAATAAGAATACTAATATGTTACAGCTATCCTTTCTCTTGGAACAAAGGGAGTTCTGAGCGATATTAAAGTTGCCTCTGTGTGACCTATCGGTCATAGGAAATGAGTTGAAGTGTTACTGTATTATCATGTGCTTTGCTTTCCGTACACACCAAGAATAGAGAATACTAATATTTTACCTTGGAACAAAGGGAGTTCTGAGCAACAGTAAAGTTGCCTCTGTGTGACCTATAGGTCATGCCGTGGAATCAGCCACTGATGCTCTTGTTGGTGTAGGCTGCCTGCGTTACACCCTCTTGGGTGTGACTGTTCTCCAGACCCTGCGTTAACATGGGATGCTTCTTGTACTAAGCTGCCCCTTTTTAAAAAAAGATCTTTTTCCTTTTCCATATTGGTGTATCCTAGGTCCCTGTTTTTTCCCTTTATAAGACTGAATATTGATTGAGAATCAACTGAGAAGTATATTCTGGTCTTAATTAGAAGATTCTTTATCTGAAATTTTTTTGGTGTCTATGATGAAGACCACACTTTAAATTGGAATATGAAATAAGGATGTAAACAGTGTATGCTCGACACACATCTATTTTTTAAAATGTAGTGCACTTTCTTGTTCATCTGCCATTCATTAGGCATTGCACCCCTGTTTTATCGTATTTATTGATCCAAAAAGAAAATTATGTGTGCAGAATTTGGCGAATCCAACTGCTTTGCTTTTGAGTTCAGTCTCTATGCTTCGTCATCTAGAGCTTCATGATAAAGCTGATCGCATCCAAGATGCCATCCTAAAAACAATTGCAGAGGGGAAGTACCGAACAGGCGATCTTGGAGGAACTGCCACAACAACTGAGTTCACCAATGCCATCTGCGATCATCTTTGAACATGTGTATATACATATAGTCGTTTTGATGTCAATTTTGATAGTCTTACATTATACAGTAGTTTAAAATAACGGTAAGGCGGCAATTGAAGATCGTGGCCCCTTGCACCGTACCGTCTATTCATGTAGTTACAGAAGCTGGTAAGACAAAAGGCAAAATATTCACGCAGCCCGTGTTGGTGGCTGTCATCTTGATTTTCTTAATCACCATTCTGATTTTGTAACGTTGAAACTTGACAAAATATCTGTTGATGCTTCCTATTGAAGTAGGAGAAATTGTTTGGCTGATAAAAAAAAAGCGTTGGGGCTCTCTTCCTGGGAAAATTACCAATTTTATCAGGTAAATTTCTAATATTTGTCATCATGATTTATTTATAATTAACGCGTATATGACTACTAATTATCAATGATAAAGGGATCAAAGATTTTCTATTTATAATTTATATATGTTGATTAAAGATATACTTGCATCGTTACATCATATAGTTTTAAACATAGTCCAAGGTACAAAACATATTACTACATAAAAGAATTACAATAACATGTATGATTAAATGTACCGAGTCATATAACACAAGTGTTAAAATTAAATTTACAAATATAGAATGCAATATGATAATAAATAGACATGGACATTCATATGTACATTAAAACTTGTAGTTTATTTATTTTTACACGAATTTAATTTGGTCAGCCTTATTAACACAAACATTTGGTAAATAAAACTACAATGGCTGCTGATAACCCTGGACAAATTATTAACTTTATTTGACTCCAAACCACAGTATATATAAATTGACAATTTTTTTAATTCTTTTTTTTGTATTTGTTCAAGGAATCTGAACATCAGTTTCATAAATAGAGCCAGGTTTCCAATAATCTGGAATCACAGTTTTGTCTGAGTTAATCCATTTGGTCTTTTCACCTTCTTTTATTTGAATCCTTAATTTAAGATCTCCCTTTGGTGGATTTGCCAAATCAAAAACTGCTCCATATGACCTCCTCATCGGTATCCATTTGTAGGTTTTTACCTGTATATATCATTTACGTTACGTGTTTAGATAAAAGTGTTTTGAAAATAATTTTAAAAAATGAGAGGATATACATATACATACATCGTAGATTTCAATTGCTATGATATCAGCATAACCACCATTGTTAAATAGGAATATAGCAAGGTAGCCATGATAGTTGCTATGTTCATTAATTTTGATTTTGAGATTGCCATATTTGCAAGAAACTCTTTTGTAGTCAACATCAACCACTCCCTTTGGGAACAACATGTGAGCTAGCTTTGGATGCTTAGCCATTTTAGCAAATGCATCTGAGCTGAGAATAAAGTCAGTTCCAGGCCCCTCACCACTGTCAGTCACTAACACCTTAACACCCTCGTTGCTACATAATGCCTCGTCCTTGCACCTCACCTGTAATATTCATATACGCGATAACTATAAGGTAATTTACAAGTAAATCGTAATGACAAATATTAGAAATTGTTTTACCTGATAAAATTGGTAACTCCCCAATATATATATAATTTATATATAACTTATATCGATTCGAATTTAATTGAAGTTGTGTAGACAATTCATGTTTACAACTTGCTTTTTAAACTAGTCATATGTACATATTAGAGCAGTCAATATATGGGCTAGGGCTGTGGGGCCGATCTGGCTTAATCCAAGATTTAATAGGGTTGAGCTACTATTTTTGAAGCCAATATGTGAATAGGGCTTTTTAGCCGGCCTGTATAAGTCTGCTGATTTGTGGGGTTTGAGAAATATCGATAGGGCCGGCCCGTGGGCTAGTAAAAATTAATTAAAAAATATAATATAATATTAAAAATTAAAATTAAAGAGAGTCCAAACTCAAAACAATTAGGTTAATATTACTTTTACTTGAAAAAAAAACTTAATAAATATTATAAAGATAATTTTATTTGTGGATTGATTAAAAAGTAGTAACATTAACATCATCTACTATTTTTTTGTCAATATTTATGATAATATTTTTAAATTATAATTTATAATTTAATAATTCTAAAAATAATATAAGTTTTAAAAAATTTTGTCAATATTTATGATAATATTTTTAAATTATAATTTATAATTTAATAATTCTAAAAATAATATAAGTTTTAAAAAATTGAGCTAGCCCGGCAAGCCGGTAGCCCACATACTTGTGGGCTGGGCCGGTCATTTCCTGACCCACACAAAAAAATGGGCTTGCCCGGCAAGCCTGTAGCTCACGTACTTGTGGGTTAGGCCGATCATTTTCTATCCCACACAAAAAAATGGGTTAGCCCGGCCTGACCCATAAAATGTCGAAACCTGTATGAGTTAGCCCGGATGGAGTGGGCTAGCCCATAGTATATATGTTATTGATTCATTTATATAAATAAATAATATGTATTTCCAACGTACGTAATCTAGTAAACCAAATGTAGTACTACTATTATAACATCCTACGCTCGAATCTATAAAGTTCAAATTCTGAATTCGTTTCTATATACCTGATAACATGCACCACATCCAACTCCATTCTTATAGAGCTTCCATGACGCGGCGGTAACGAGACCATCATTGACATATCTTCCATGCTCTCCATAACCACAAGCTCCAGCTGATCAAATATATGTTGCAAATTAATCAAATGTTACTTAAATTAATAACTAAAAATTAAATGTGACTTACTAGGTGTTCCTTTGCCATCAGAGGTCTTATAAAATGTAGCTTTAGAATAATAATTTTCAGTACCAAAAGAAAATGTAGGCAAAAGTAAAATTATACATATCATAAAAGTGGAACAATTATTGAAAGAGATAGCCATTTTTTTTAAGCAAAAAATGTAAAGAAGTGTTAATTTGGATTATGAGAAATGTAGAGATAATAAAGTTGTTTATTTATAGTTGTGTGTTACAAGGGGCAGGTATTGACTATATGGCCAACTTTGTATTAGTCTTAATTATTTTATTTGAAAAAAGAAATATTCAAAGTTTTTGACTAAATTTGTATAAACTATGGATAACATCACGAAAAAGAAAAAAAGAAAACTTCTTTTTTCTGATTTTAAGATAAGTTTAGAATTTGATTAGCATCTTCTTTGAAGCAACAACAGCTAATTAATGATGATTATTTAAATCCCATTTTAAATTTAACTATACTTTGTGCTAGAAATTGTCATTATTTCAAAATCAATGGATGTTTAGTACCTTCTTTTGCCGCGTCCGTACGCTATTTAATAAAATACTCGTTCCGTTTTATATTAGTTATCAATTTTTTCTCATACCCACCTTTTTGAAAAAATATCACAAATAAAAAGTGTACTCTTTAATTTACATTTTTTCCTAATTTTTAAAAGTAATTAAGGTGAACAATTAATACGTAATGAAAAGAGCAGTGTTTAAAATTGTATACGAATTTATTTAAGAAATAATGAAGATTTTTGAGTTTAAACTGTCAATGTTATCTTCTAAATGAGTGGTGATAAGAATTTTACATGCCTTTTGATTTAAATGAATGATGATTGAGCGTTTTGATAAAATTTGTTTTTAGGAATATGATAATTAAATCGTTTTCAAAGAAAAAATGTCATTTTATTCAAAACAAATTAAATAGAAAATTTATCGATCACATAATCAATACTAGAGAAAATAATACTATATATTATCTTAAAACCTTGTCGACAGCTCATTGTTTGTGAATTTAAATTATGTCACACAGGAATGTTTCAATTAATTATTTGATCGTTAGACTTTTAATTTATCTACTTTTATAATTTCTTGAAATATGTTTTGTATTTTTTACCAATCGAACACTATAAGAAAATACTTTTTATTCATTAATCAAATATGAAAAAATAAACTATAAAATTCATTTATTTTCCGAGAACACATTATTTTTAGAAAATATGATTCATTCCATACCGAACACAAAACATAAATGAGATAATTAAGAACAAATAACTATTAATAGATAAATTCTCTTATGATTAAAAAAGAGATAATTATAGAAATCACATATTTTAAGGTAAAATTACAATTTATCCCTTAAAAGTTTATAATTACAATAATCCCTCAAAACGGATACATAAATATAAGCGCTGATCCATTCATCTAATGCGCGAGATACATTGATCGTTAAGTAAGATACATTATATTTTGTACATGATACATTAATTTGATGTACATTTTATACATGATACACTAATTTGATGCGCGAGATACACTAATCTGATGCTTGAGAAAAACTAATCTGATGTGCGATGTACATTTTATACATGATTTACTAATATGATTGCGAGATACATTAATGTGATGTGTGAAAATGAAATTTTTTGAACATTTATAAAACTTATAGGGAATAATAATAATAAATAAACTAAAAGATGGAATTTCTGTAATTAAACCATTAAAATATTATGGCCATCTAATTGGAATTTATTTTTAACCCATATCTTAGATGGTAAGTTCAGACCAATTCAACTAGAAATTGGAACACGTCTCCATATAATTAAAAAAAAATTAAGTACCATGTAAAAGTAAAAGACGAAATATATAGGCTAATATCTATAATAACTCTTCAACTTTTATTTTTAATCCCATAAACTCTAAGGAAATAAATAATCAAAGTTAGTTTAAACCCCAACGAATATAAATATAAATTAATCAGACATCTCAATAGCAATATTTTTATATTAACTTATCCTTTTATAATATCAAATGTTCTTTACTGGTATATAATTTCTAAAATATTTTGATACTTTAATATACTATATTAGAAGACAAGATATACACACGCATGAAATTTATGTGGTTATATATATATATATAAAGCTTCTAATTAAGTGTAAAAAGAAGAAATAAAAAACAAAATTCTTTCTATATATATATATATATATAAAGCTTCTAATCTAAGTGTAAAAAGAAGAAATAAAAACAAAACTTTTTAAAATATAAAAGCCTGTCATTCTTTCTACAACTTACAAAAAATAACGCCTCACATATATTAACACTCATTGTAAACCTAGCTAGTAACACCGAATCCTACGACGACAATATATTCAGTGAAAATTTATCAGAAAATTTGAAAAAATAGAATATACGTAGATCTTATACCTCATAAAATTTCGACAGCATGGATATCACACTACAACAAAAATGACTTTTAGTGACATTAAATATTGATATTAATAAAGAATGCTAAATTCTTTACCGGCATTAGTTAAGTGTCATTAGAACCAGTGTCGCTAAAGGCTTAAGGAACATATACAAAGCGTGACAATTGCAGCTAAAAATATATATTTAGCGAAAATTAAAAATTAATTACCGTTAATGATCATTTTTGTTGTAGTAGATCAGTTGCACCACCTTGGTTCAATACAACAACAGCAAGATAATTAGCATACTTGCTATGTTCATGAATTTTAACCATAAGATTTCCACCATAACCACAAGAAACTCTTTTCCACATAAATGAGTTGCCAAACCTGTAATCACATCAAAATTAATTGAAAAAAAAAAGTATATTTGTAACATATTAATACTACTCCTAATTACTTTGATATATTTAAAAAGTATTTTTGAATTTAGTTAGTTAAACATAAAATATTTTTCACGATTTCTTTTTCAAACTAAGCTAATTTTAAAAATTTGATCAAACATACTAGACGATTATAATTTGAGCTTATATATACCAGGTAACTTATTACTATAATCCCATCAATTATTATTGGTTCCCAATTTGAGTTACATCTCATTGTGTTTCATATTGTTAGTGAAATAAAACTTTAAACTTTGACTGAAATATTAAAGGGGCTTAATTTCAATAGACACCGTGACAATGCATGTAATATATCATGTCACCTAAAAGATAACACGCTACTGATATAATTATATTGTCGATAAAAATGAAATAAGTAGGTACGTACCTGGTAACATGCACCACAACCAGCTCCATTTGTGTAGAGAAACCTAGAGGCTGTGCACACTTTCACCATTGTTCACATCTTTACCATAGTCTCCATAACCACATGCACACATACATCAAAATTAATGTTAAAACAATTATTAAAGTAATAATCGACGAAAATTTCGTGTTTAATTAATATGTGATATTCATATGTCTTTTTTTTTAATTTGAAAAAATATATAAAAAAAAGGGTTAAAAATGCTCCTGAACAATATCATAATGTGATATTCAAGTGTTCAACGTTAGTCATGAGTATTTTTTATAAAATAGATGAATGAAGGATATATTTAGATCTTTTACGATAATACAAAGGCATTTTTGACTTTTTTTTAAAAAAAGTGTAGAAGTAGTTAATTAAAAAACTAGGTTTGGCTATAGGATAATGCTGGCATAAGCATAATATTCATGCACATAAAAATGCAAGAATATTTAAGTGAATGATCCATTTTTTATTTCGTTCACAAATTAATTACCAATTAATTGAAGACTTTAATCTGTATGATAAAAATTAAGTGAAAAAAAATCTCACTTTTATAGTGAAATTAGTAAGGAGTGGAGATTTATATTAGGAGCCACGTTTCTTCTCCACTATGGACAGTGGAAAGCAAATGCACATTATTATTAATTTCATTTTGTTCATTTCAATTATTAAAATTATTTCATCAAAAGATGATACGTATTCAATCTGTTTAAATAATTTTTGGGCGAGTTAAATAAATATATTTAGTGTAATTTCATAAGCGAGATATGAAAAGGGTAAAGTGTATATTGACTTTATCCTTACCTTAAGATAAGATCAAGAGATTATTCTCGATAGACCCTAGCTGATTAAAGGAAGTAGATATATTCTCAACTTATTATTACGATCAACTTGACACAACTTATATCCAACCCTCAAAAACCTCTGACCCGCTCATTTATTAATTCAGTCAATTCTATTTTTCCGCTCCAAACAAATTACTTGGTTCTAACTTATTTGATTTTAATTTTGAAGAGCATCCACCTTAACATTTTAGCAATCACCATCAATTTGGAAGATTATAGAACCTAACAAAAACCTAGTGCCTTTGCATTTTATATACTTCAAAAACATATAAAGCCATGTGTAATTTAGGCAAAGAGTCAAAGTGGTTAATGAGCTACATGTGTAATAGATATATGAAAAATTTACTATCGAAGATAGATTTATCTAATCTCAAAATTTTATATATGTCACGTAAATTATAACAAAGAGAGTAATAGTTTAGTATACAGTTTATTTAGACATGATTTCTAGTTTTATTGACTTAGAGTATAATAGAGAAACACATGCAAATTTTACATATGACTAATTTATTTATATCAAACACACACAAAAAAAGAAAAAGATCACTACAATACATGCATGCCCTACAACATTACAAATTTTACTAAATCTTGTATGATTTTTTTTATTTGATAAATTTCTAAATAAAGCACTTTGCAAGCCACATGACATTATACAACATAGTAACTATTTAGTCTAGCATAAGGTATGTGTCATAAGCAATGCCAGCCTTCCATTGATCAGGTAAAACATCAGCCAATTGTACCCATTTAGTTGCTTCCCCATTAACACTAACTTGAACTCTGAAAGTGAGTGATCCTTTTGGTGGATTTGGCATGTCCCATACTGCTCCATAGGCCTTTCTCATGCCCTTCCATTCCTTACAATCAGCCTACACATACATACATACATACCATCATCGTCTTATTTTTTTCACGTTACTAATTTCACAATATATGCAATGTTTGTACGTTACATGCAGATATATATAATCTTTTAGGAGTAGATTTGAGAAATCGTTACTCAACTAATAGTTGTTATCTAGAAGTTCACTCATTTTGATTCTATTTTTTTTTCTTTTTGACAAAATAACAATTTTTTTGAAATAATAACTATTAGTTGAGTAATCAACTTAGAAACCAACTCTATAGTTTAGCTAATACTTTAGCAATCGTACTAGTTAAACAAATAATGAGAGAGAATTACCAATATATACTATATATAGGTGGATGACTGGATCTAAATATTTTTTTGGCTCCCTTTGGCATATAATGAAATTAAACAACTTCATCGAAAATTTTTATTATATATTTATAAAATAAGATAAGATTTGTTTTCCTTTTATATATATATATATATATATATATATATATATAAAATAGACGATATATCTTTATGAACTACTTCATCTGTTTATTTTTTTATATTTTAAAGGGAAAAAAGATAAATATAACGTCAAACTATCTAAATGGTACGCAGTTACCATTCATCGTACTTTTGGACATTAGTGCCCTCGCTATACAAAAACTCAAGCATATATGCCCTTCACTCTAAATGAAGACTAAATAGGGAGACGTGACACAATCTTATTCATCGATCCGATATTTAATAAATGTCGGTAGGTGGATAAGATTATGACACGTGTATATTCGTTAGTATAAAAAATATATATATACTCTAGTTTTTGAACTACATGGACATGAATTCCCAAAAATACGACGGAGGGTATATGTATATCATTTACAATGTAACATATAATATCACATAGTTTATATATACCAAGTGGAGGATTTATTTCTAACAAAATTCATTTTATGACTCAGAATAATAAAATTTAAATTTTGAATTCGCGTCTTACCTGCCAAACCTCAACAGCTTCAATGTCAAATGCACCACTTTGATATATTGGTACAATAGCCAAATAGTTACAAAATCTGCTATGTTCATGAACTTTAATCATTAAATTATAACCATAGTATGTACAAGGTACTCTTCGATATTCAACGTCAACAACTCCATAAGCCAACAAATGATTAGCCATTCCTGAGGTAGCCATGTCTGAATAAGCACGTACACTTAGTATGAAATCTGTATGGTCACCTTCACCATGATCTGTTACAACTATTTTTGTACCTTCATCTGTGCAATGACCTGGTACCTTGCACCTAACCTGTTGTACGTTTGCAAAAAAAAAATTAGGAAGCGCGAGAATCTGTTTTCCAACATGTGTTTTGCGGGAAAAATGAATGGAAAAATCGTGTTTTTGATTCAATTTTTTGAAAAAGATAAATAAAGATTCCGAAAAAAAAAACTTTTTAAAGATATACTGCTGGATCGGTGCAGATTATAATGTTGAAGTGAGCTTGAATCTTCTTAAAGAGAGTGAGATATCCATGCATTAATCTAAATGATTATTTATTCATTTTATTTTCAACTGTAATTATTTACCGTAGGAAAACACTTAAATATGTCATCGAACTTTGAGAAAAGGCTCTAATCCGTTAAAAGTTCAGCTCATCTATGTCATTTCCCTCTGAGAAAAGGCTCATCCATGTCATTACTTGTTAACAAAAAATAATTCTGGTTTTGCAAAATTATTTTTGACATGTGGTAAATTATGATTTGATCACGTCCTTAATTGAATTATTTTTCAAAAAGAAAAAAAATTAAATATGTCATCAAACTTTGAGAAAAGTTTCATCTACGCCACCTATTAAAAAATTGGCTTATTTATGCCATTTTAATTAACATATAAATGACATAAATGTGTTTTTTTAAAGGTTATTTGGTACACTTGTATATGGTTATGTGGGTGTCACTTTCATTACTTTTTAATTTTTGAAGTTTAAACTAGCTAAACGAATAATTATGTTTAGAAAAGTTGCTACCTATTCTTTTTATTTCAATTAAGAATATTTTATTTTAATTTGATACAAAATTTAAAAAAATAAAGAATATTTTTAAACGTTATAACCTTAAACAAATTAAAACGACTAAAGTATATAGTATTATAATATAATGAATATACCTGATAGCAAGCACCACATCCAGTTCCATTCCTGTAGAGCCTAGAGACTCCACTCACTTTGCCATCATAAATTTTCCTTCCATATTCACCAAATCCACAAGCTCCACCTGTTTTATTTTTGTTACAACAATACTAATAAGGTTGATTATCTTATTATTAACCTTAATTATAACATATCATAACATAATTAACATAAAATATTGCTTAAAATCGATATCTATTAGAAAACGAGATTGTGTAACTATAACATTTCAATTTATTTTTAACCTGTTTAAATTAAACTCAATCTATACAGTCTCATTTGCCACGACTACACGCATGTATAAGTATATATATCTATCGCGCGTAGACACAGAAAAAACGATGAAATTATTGAGGGGAAAATTACACATACTAGGGGTTCCATAGCAATCAGGGCTGCCATAATAAGTAGCTCTACTATAAAGGGAATTTGCTTCTTGGCCATAACAAATTGAAGGATAAATTATAATTGTCACAAGTAGAAAAATTATACAATGGCTATTATTGAAAACCATATCTTATGATAAAAATTTCAAAATTACTAAGAAATTATTCAAAAGGAAGTGGATGAGAAATGATGAAATGTAAAGGCTATATATAGTTGAATTTTTGTACTATAGAAAGCAGCCATTAAGGGAAATATAAAAATATTCTTATTCTTATATACGTATAAAATAATTTTTTCTAAAAATTTCTACATGATTTGTTCCACTAAGGAGTAGGGGGATTAAGCAAGTGGAAGATGGGGTTAAGTACTAATTAAATTTGATAAGTACATTGTTTTTGGCACTTTATAATATAATTCAATCACGCGTTACTCCAATTAATGACACTTTAAGATTTAATTAAGAAGGAATGAAAAGCTTAATAAATTAATTATTTTCTACTAATAATTAAATGTTTTTAATTTCCACTATCGACAACAATAAATATCTTTGCTTACTCTTTCTAATGTAAAAATATTTTAATCACTTTCATTGTGAGTATTATAAATAAGTTATGTGTTCAATACCATTTTTAATTTCATAATCCGATTTTTTTTTAATATCTCTGGTCTAATAGTAAATTTTAGAGGTTATATTCTTCATTAATTTAGCAATCGATAAATCAAAAATCAAAGAGCAAAAAATCGTCAGGTTTAATGTGTGTATCATACGAAAATTCTCCACGATACTTTTATTCTTTTTTATGAATTATCTGGTATCTAAAATGTACTTGTTTTTATCAATTTAGATTAAAGCAATATATATACGATCAATTTAAGAAGGTTGCGTATAAGGCAGAGGCGTAGCCAGAATTTTTAATAAGGGGTTCAAAATCTGTAGAAATAGATAGCCGAAGGGGGTTCGACATCCACTTTATATACATATAAACTTATTTTAACCATATGTAAATAATATAATTTTCAATCGAACATGAACCCCTTCAATTAAGGTAGCTACGCCCCTGGTATAAGGCATTGTTTTTTATTTATTAGAAATTTTTGACTTAAATCTGGAACATCTTAAATATTACAAATATGATAAAGAAGTTACAATTATCCTATCGCACTTTTTTATAATTCCAAATATGGTATAAAATGTGTATTGCAAACTTATATAACATAAGTCACTACGATTTTTACTATATATTGAATTTGATAAGTTAGGAAAATATAGGAGTCCGGAGCCTTAAGGGTATAAAATATTAACAAAAATTTTAAAACGGTATATAAAATTTTATATTAACAAAAACGGTAAAATTGTTGGAACTGTAGCGATTTCCTCAGTCGAAAAAAGCAAAATCGCTGCAGTAGCAGCGATTTTGAAAAATGTGATTTTTTTTTAAAAAAAATTTCAAGAAAATCGCTGCCTTTTCATTTTTTTAAAAAAATAATTCTTTTTAAGAAAATCGCTGCGGCAGCGATTTTCATTTTTTAAAAAAAGAAAATCTCAAATGAAGATGTGTGCCGTCGATTTTCATGAATTTTTTTTTAAAAAAAAATGAAAATTGCTGCCCAGCGATTTTCTTGATTTTTTTTTATAAAAAAAAATAATCACATTTTGCAAAATCGATATAATAGCAACGATTTTGCTTTTTCTGATAGAAGAAATCGTTATTGTTCCAGTAATTTAACTATTTTGGTTAATATAAAATTTTATATACTATTTTAAAAATTTTATTAATATTTTATACCCTTTACGTTTCGAACGCAGAAATATTGAATGGCCACTATATACGTAGATTGGTCCCTTAATTGTGGTTCCTCTTTATCCTTTTATGTGTCTTAAAAGCAGTAGTCTGGCGGCTAAGGAATAAAAAGCATAAAAAGGAAAATTGGAAAAGAAGTCGAACTATCGGTGCGCATGAAGTACTCACTTGAAAAATAGAGATGATAATCAAAATCATAGCTACTTGTAAATTATTCTAAATCAAAAAAAAAGTTACGATTAGATTTCGTATAACATAAGATAATATATTGTTGTTTTGTAAATTTAATTCATAATACTTGATTATGTCATAAAATTTTGTACTATTTAATTAACATTTTATGAAAAAAAAACGTAATCATGACGATTGCTCCCCAAATTCTTTCACTCATAGCTAGCCAATATTTGTTTAAAACTTGCCAAGTCATGTAATTAAATAATTCAAAGTGGAAGATATACTTAAATTAGAACATCAAGGTGAAAATACAAAAATCTTTAAGGTGGTGAATTTGGGTGAAGTATTCCTTTTAAGTAGAAGAAAAAAGATCAAATTTTGCCTTTATATCATTTGAAATTGCTCGATTTTATCGTATATTATATATAGTGGTTCATTCATATCGTTGTCGTTAGTTGTTAACTTGTCATGTATTACTCCACTTCTGACATTCTACATCGATTGTGTCTTCCTGACCTCCATCCACATCCCTACCCCTCCTCTCATCTCCCGTGGTATCCGCATAAATTATATATAACTACATTAAATCGACTTATTTTTCATGAAAAACATTTTGTTCCGCGGAATCCAAACACCTCTCAAGATTTTGATTACTAATACAAGATTGGATAAAGTTGCCAGGTCAAAAATATATCATTGAAATACTAACCAATAAAAGCAATTTGGATTAATAGATAACTTGGAATATCCCTATGTTTGGTTCAAACGCACTAAGAAGTTATCAAATAAAGTAAATGCTCCAAGTGATATCCAGTGACTATACGTAGAATCTGATAACAAATTATGAAACCAGACTCAAAATCTGGGGGAAAAGCACTCAACCACCTAATTTATTTATTTTGTTAAAATAAAAATACTTTTTCTAGTTGAATACATGTACTATATCAAGAGTAATTGGTAGGTGACTTCCAATATTTGTTACCCACTTGGAGTTTATAAATACTTTATTATTTGATTGGTGTATCATCTAATCAAATGCATTGTCAATAGTACAATGCTAAATTATGATGATATACTAAAGCAAATAATTGAGTTGAACGTTCGAATGGTCACTCAACTTATACCAATGTTATTAGAGTCGGTTAACTTTATTTTATATCTGGTAGAAACTATTTCATTGTGACGCCTTCAAATTAAAGACATCCTATATTACAAATACATAGAGATAAATGACAATTAATGTCTCATCATAGGTATTTTTGCATTTCAAATTATCTGTCATGATTTCGAAATGATAATTAATCACATTATTCACCCTCTCAAAAAACGCAAAAAATCACAACATACTCGGTGTAGTCCCTTACCCTTGTCTCATAGGGATAAGAGAAGCTTGTTTCAGATCGACCCTTGGATTAAATCACAGTTAACATTGACGTATCTGTATTTTCAAACCATATATGAAAAAATGAAACATAAAAATAGATCAAGAAGCTTATAGCAAACACCAAACTGAGTAACAGAAATGCTGGACAGTGACCCTAATGGACTTTAACTGTTGAGCAATATTGCACTTCCCATTAATGGCTACATTCCACTATGAAAAATAATCTACACACTTGTAGAGCTAGAGACATCAGTTGTCAAAATTCAAACTCAACCTGTCATCGCTTAATATCTGCTTCATACACATGTCTTTTTAGGATAAAAATGGAGAGGGTCAGCTGTAATGAATTTACAAGCTTAAACAGGAAAAAGTCAAGAGAGAAAAGTTGTAATCATGAAACTACTATCAACCAGAAAAAAAGGAACAATCAAAATCTGTAGTTGCAAGTTGTAAAGCATAAAATCCCCCACCAAGTTAAACTAGCAACTCCCCTCTCTCCAGATGTCTCACTTCCCAAGTTCTGCACCAGAAGAGAGACAATAATTGAAATGGTGGGGCGCCTACGGAAGGAACAATCAGTTTCAGTTCTAGAATATGTGATTGCTCAAGCTAAATGTGCATCATTCAGTTAAACAAACTACGGGAACCATCAGCACTCAAGTAAAGTGGTGGAGAGGAATGAAGATTTTTGCAGATGCGAACATCTGTCTAATTGAGGATGTGAACTTCGTGGAGTGATGAAAAGGTCTAGAGTGAAGGTCACAGTTTCTTCACTAACAAAACTATTGCTACTCTAAAAAAGAAAAATGAACTAAGTAGTTGTGATGCTTCATCATTAAATAAACAAATATTGGGTCGAATTGTTTCACCTTTCTGAGATCTCCACTTAACAAATTGGTGTAAAGACTTGCAGTTAGAATATTTTACTGAATATTGGAACCATCTTAAGACCATAACATTCTAAAATAGTGCAAACTTCACACGTGTTCTATAAGCTACTTCGTTGAGCCAACACAGAATGCAGAATCTAAGTGACTAGGATCTGTATAAAACAAGTATAATAGCTGTCCCAACTGTGGCCTCTAATATAGTTCGAGGCAATCTGTAGATTAAAAGGAGCGTTCATGATGGGAAATAGCCTTGTTGATGAATTGCCGGTGAAAGGTAGATGCCAAACGCCACCCCCGGGCCTAGAAATGAATTTTTATGTTTGAGAATCGGTTACTTTGCAAAGCAAAACTAATATTAGCTAAGTGAAGCTTACCTCAATCCCTGTGGTTTCGTGGCTGGTGGGACTTTTGACTCCTTTCAGATAAGTTGGGCCTTCTTCAGATCAGATACAACTCCTCTATCTTTATTTCCCCTCTCATTGTATACAACCTTTAGACATTTAAGTTACAATATGAACTGCAGGTCCTTTAATATCAGGAAGTAAGTTGAAAAGTTTTTAGTTACTTCATAGAGATACCTTATCAATAATTCCATATTCTACTGCTTCACTAGGACTAAAGTATTTTGGACGTTTTATGTCTTCTTCAATCTCCTCAGGTGATTTTCCAGTATTTTCTGAATACAATTTGACCTTAAAAATAAATGTGTGAAGTCAGAAAATCAGGCTATTAATATAATGCTCATCTTTGATCCTTCAGAAATGTGTATCGCAGAGCAGAAAATGAACATCCTTAAAAGCAAATTTGTCCCTTGAACTTTTGTCACGGTAAGCAAGCACTAAGCTTAACAGAAATTTTAAGGATTACCAATTCCGCTTTGACATTATTTACTTCTTTCCGCATGATCTCAACATCTGTTGCTTGACCCTGAAACTGAGAAA